GCAATTGACGACCTTATTAGCGAGGTATAATATTACAACGTAAATAAAACATATCAACGAGAAGAGTTTGTTTAAATATAATAAATTCAGGGCCGTGAATTTAATACACTACTGCAACGAAGAATCGTGAAATATGCATATACAATTATGCACTCGACAATAGGGTAATAATATGCATTGACAATATTCCAAAGTGTATAAGCGTAATTTTGCAGAATTAATTCACAATTTTTATGTTTATGGCTTTAAAGGTACCAAATATGCAATAAAAATATAATAAAAAACAGTTATATGCATTTAGATGCACTGCCGTTCCAAATATGCAAAAATATTCAAAATAAAATTTCACGTTTTAAATTGTATTATATAATGTCTTGAATCAAATTTGAATTCAATATCTTTTGAATTTCGGATGAAGTTCATTGATATACAAAATCATTAAATTCACAGTCCAGCTAGTAAAAGTTATTTGAATAACGCGCATTAATCATTTGAAAATGTTTATATAATTATAATATATTATATTATATATATATTGATAAATTGTGAGGTTAAATGAAACGAAAATCGAATATTTTTGTGTTTATATTATAATATAGAGTTACAAGGTAATTAAATAGTTAGTTTAGTTGCAGAATAGAATTTTTATATTATATTTTGTCAATTAGGTGAATTAAACCTTCATCAATAATATTATATTATATCTATAAATGATGGAGCGCCTGATTGACTTGAGATCAATGTGGAGCTTAAACTATGATATCTTAAGAGTAGAGACTAGACATTTGTATGGTACCTTCATACCACTCTGTGAAAACGGAAATAAAAGGATTTTACAAAATTCACATTTTAAAGAGGTACTTACACAAAGATTTTCAGTTCAACGATTAACCCTGACCTAACCTGAGTTTAACCCCCCCCCCCATTCCCTTCCATTCCTATTTTACTGTGAATTATTTAGTGAATAATTTGTTCGAATATTATGATGTATTTAATTCAAAATTTAAATGAGTACCGATAGTTTCTCAGATATTAAAATGATTATTCTAAGGATAATAGTCCTTAAAAATGATTTTACAAAAATATAAAACTGATGTAATTTTGGGTCTAGTATTTATGGATAACATTGAATTGAGTACCGCAAATACTTTTGGATTATCTGAGTTGAGTCCGACCAATATTCTTAGGTTGTTCGAGTTGAGTCCCTTCAGCCTATTACCGTTACCCAGAAGACACCACGTGGAAGTTGGCTGAGTAGTCTCCCAAAAAATTAGTGTGATTGTATTTTTTTAATCATAATAATAATAATAATAAGTATAAAGAGTTAATTAATTAAAAAATATTAAAATAATAATTATTATGTATGATTGTATAGGTACACTGTTTTTTTTATCATATAATAAAAAATAATAAGTATAAAGAGTCAATTAAAAATAACAATAATTATGTGTAATATAATAATGTTAGTAATTAAATAGATTTTTTTTTTTATCATATAATAATAATAAGTATAAAGAAATTATGTGTAATATAATAATGTTAATAATAAAATAGTTGCTAGTAAAAATTTAAATGATATATATATTTTAAAAAGTCAAATCTGCCAATTTGCATATTTATGTATTTGTTTGTCTGCTCCAGTAAAAATGTCTTTTTCTAATGTTTTTTTACATGGTCTCTTTGCTTTACTTCTTAGTTTTATATATATATCGGAGAGTGTCCACAAGAATAAAAATATTTGGATGTCCCATGAATATCCTTTATCCAGTGCCGGCCCGATGGTTTTCGGGGCCCGGTGCAGAATTTCGCGGGGCCCCATATGGCCAATGGCTGTATATGTTAATTTATTAATTATTATACAATATACAATATACACATTTATTTTATTTTTTAGGGACTTTTTTAAATTGCCTGTGAAAATAATATTACCTATCAGTATTGTTTTTAAAATTTAGATAGAATGACTTTAATTATTCTACATCTACATATTTTTTTGTCATATAAAAATGTAAAATAATCCAAAACGTATACCTTTTCCATTCATTTAATGGAAATAGTACATTTTGGAAAATTTAATGGGAATAGTTCATTTTGGAAAACCTAATTAAATATTAAAATATACTCCAAAATGTGCTTTTTCCAAAATAAAAATATTATTAATTTCTTATTTATTGTTTCAATATGGACAAACCGTTTATAAATAAAAAAGTAATTTTGAAGACAAGGAAGATTTTTTAAATTATTTAATAATATATTATTTCTATTAAAAACTACTCAAATGTGTTTAATAATCTAGGATTATATTTTTAATTTAATTTCAAACTTAATGATTGTGAATATTATAAATTATAAATTATATTTTAGTACGTTTTGGATTAACTATTTTATTTCGCTATACCTACAATACGGGCAGTAGTACGTTTTGACATAACATAAAAACAAAGTACGTTTTGGAATAATTTACGAAAATAGTTCGTTTTGGTATAGTTAATGATTGGTGCCTATTATTTTAACATTGGCAATAGTACGTTTTGGCGTAAAACTGGAAAAAGTACGTTTTGATTATCTAAATATAATTTTTATGCACGAAAAAGGTTCGTTTTGGATTAAGCAGTCATTTTTAACAGCTGATTTGACCTGGAAATAGTACGTTTTGGTCTATTCTGGCAACACCAATCGATTTGTCGGCGTTTTTTTTATAAGAATCGATATCTAACTCGTTTTTGCCAATTTTGGCAATAGTACGTTTTGGATTTCCACCCCTCAATCAAGGTAAGATATTAAAATATAGACATAGTACACATACTTATTCTAATTGGTATTCGTCGATAACAAACAGTTTCCTAAGAAAACAACACGGGTCGCGATATCCGTATTACTGCTACGGGGACAATATTATTATGTTTATTTATAGATAAAGTGATATTCGTAACAAGCCCGCACAAGCCCACCATGCGCGGGGCCTCACAAGCGCGGGGCCCGGTGCGGTCGCACCGCTTGCCCCCCCCCCCCCCCTAGGGCCGGCACTGCCTTTATCGTTGCGTATCCGGTAAAATATTATGACATGATGTGCAAGGTTCAAAGCAGTTCAGGTAGTTATGACATTTTATCTATAAGGACTCAATTCAAAGATATTAAGATAATACCTTGGACTCAATTCAATATCACCAGTATTTATTATACTTGAACAATTTTTATAATATTAAAAAATATTGATAGATTTGTATAAATTACAAAAAAAAAATAAATTACCATATTCACGGCCATGTCTTCCAAACCTATTGCAGTCCTATGTACACAGAATTAAACAAGTCAGCAACTACTATAGTTCGAAATTTGATTCTGATACATCATGTGCAGAACAATATTATCTGCCAAATAACTTACAGTAAAAAAAAAGGGGGATCTTTTTTGTTAAACTGAAGTTTGTATCACCAAAGAAACATTCCTCAAGTAATACAAAAAATCTCAGAAATTAGAAAACATGGTCTTTAAGTACCTATATTTAAGAATTCCAAAAATCAGATATTGGTACCTGAATTATTGTAACAAAAATAGGGTGAGCTCGGTAGGTGAATCATCTTGTATATAAACGGCAAAGTGTAAGGCTTACAGAATCAAAAAATATTTGAAAGATTTTGACGATTCAAGAAAGGTTTAGATCATAGATTGAAATAATTATATTAGGGTGGCTTACCCCTACTAAATAATATTTTTGTTTATTATTATTATCCCATCTCAGATTCATTTATCCGCGGGCAACGTCGGGTAATACAAGTATAGGGTTTAATAATACTTAGGTATAGGAAGGTAATATAATAGTGGGAATTAGATTTAGGCAAAATAAGTAATTAATATAGGCTAGGCCGATGAAGCGAATGTTCTGAGACCACACAATTGTTATTGTTATATGAAACGCCGCCTTCATCGTCACGACAAGAATAGTTAGGATGTGTCCCTCTTCAGCTGTAGTCGTGGTGTCTGTTACAATATAAATTAGGTACTTCAATTACTATGATTTTGAAATCATTGTGGCCCCCATATCTTCTAGCCCTATTATCCTTTGTAGTGTTAATACACAAAGTTAAATAACTCGGAAACTACGCGTTCAAGTTTTTGTTAGAAACATATTATGTTTCACACATTTTCAAAAAAAGAATCTTTAAATTTTCAGTAAAAAAGTGGTTCTCATTTGAAAAAAAAATAACTTTTTGAAAATATTTTGCTATAATGTGATTAAATTATAATAAACATCTTAAAAAGAGCAAGCTTAAAAAATATAGTCAATGCTTACAGAAATATTTATGTAAATGTATGCAAATTTATCTACGTTATACGTTTTTGAGTTACCTATAATCAAAAAAAAAAAAGAAATTTGAAAATGTAAATGATTAACTATATTATTGATCACACAAATAATTTAATTGTTATTAACACAAGGTTATTTTTATCAAAATGTGTAGAAATACTATACCTATAGGCTATAATATTATATTATGTATTTAAACTGTACAGTCTTGAAGACTACCTAAATTATAGATATTATACGCTTGTAAAAACATTTTAAATGAGATGGGTCACTGGATTTTAACAACGATAAAAAACCCTATAGGTAAAATTTACCAGAAAAATTTCGCTTATGGTAGGTACATCTCTACATTTGTGCTGTACGTACGCGATATTATATCGTATTATTTGGAGGTTCGCCGCAGCGTCCACGGAGTGAAATAGTATAATATTATATTCTGTTTCGATCGACCGAGGGCGGAACGGCCGAGACGATTGAGCAAAGAGAAAACGATCGAGTCGGTTGCCGCCGGCGGAATTTGTCGGGGGGCGATGGCGAGAGAGAGCGAGAGAGAGAAAAAATAAAACAGAATAAAAAGGTCGGCGAGGAAACGGAAACATCGTGTTTCCGGTGGAAAGATTCAATGATCGGCCGAGGTTGATATATATACACGCGTATATATACGTATAGTAAACTTGTTGGCCCTTCCGGGATGACCGCCGCCGCCGTCCCATTTGTCTTTAGCGCCAAAAGCCGCAAGGCTTTATTGCCTTTTCGTTCGCGTATTAGCCGTGCATACTGCGGCGGTGACCCTTTTTACCACCCCGCCAACCCACCCCTCATCGAGGTGCAATCCACGTCGGTGATTACACATAGTGATAAACTGGTTCGGGGTACTGGGCGGGCGGGTGCCTCGGCGGGTGAAGGAACGAAGCGAGGGGGTAAAACGCATTTTGCGGAAAAGCGGTCGGCGCAGAATATTCGCTAATGAAATCTGTGATATATTTTTCTATTTCAAAAGCGGGGCGTATAATATGATAACGCCTTTTTTTTTTTTATTAGATATAATATATTTTCACTCCGCCAGTTTCATCATTTTCTTTACGTTTTTCCTACGTCATTTATTTCGGATGATGTATAATATTATATCGCAGCATTATCGCGGCGGCGGAATTTTCTATACGCGTTATTTCTATCGCGCGTTGTTCGAAACGAACATTTTTCTTTTGCTTTTTTGACTTCTTCGTTTATAATTTAATCTTCAGAGTTAAAAGAAATAACGATTTCGTTTTTGCAGTAGTTTTATCAAAAAAATGATGTCCAAAAATTGATCTAGTTCTTTTATAATATGCAGCTGCAGCCCGCGGCACGGGCGTTTGACGACAAATTGCAAAATGCATTTTTCGAGTGTGTTCACACACCGTATGTAGGTATACAATTTAAATGCATCGAGTTCACTTCATTAAATTAATTTCTAGTTGTAGTGGCCTAACTGGATAAAAACCTAGGGGGGCAATAAAGTTAACCTCCCGTTCGGCCGTTCCTATAGTTATGATTGCGATTTCAAGAATAAAATTATATTCAACAAGAGAAACCAAAATAAATATAAACTTTTATAAAGTTATTTGAGGAAAAAATATTTTAATATTATAATATTATGTTTAGAGCTGGGCCGATAACATCTTTTTCCGATATCCGATATTCCAATTTATATTGCCGATATAAAACCGATAACCAATCCGATATTTTATTTCCATGAACCGATAAAAAAAACTTAAAAACCCGATATAAAAAACCGATGTAAGTATGTAACCATATTAATCATGTGACATATCAAAACATATTTGATTTAACTAAGAAAAATTAATAATAAATTAATAATTAATAATTAATAACTTTAAATATTCTTTTAGTTGAATAAGTTTACAAAAAAATAAAACAATATAATAGTAATACAAAATTATAAATATTAAAATAATTAAACTTGAAATCACTATACTAAGTAATAAATATTAAATCATTATTAATTTAAAAAAAGCGGGTAAGTGGATATCACTCTGCTGCACAGTAGGTTACAAGTGGGTCAATGTATAATGGATTGTATTAAACTTGAATTCAATGATATAATATCTTTGTATAAAAAAACAATTCTGAGCGGAGACGGTTTGTAAGACTGGATTTTTTATATTGTTGAATTATTATTATAATATTATTATTTATTATTCGTTGCTATGGTGATAAACAAAGCGTTAGAAATTAAAATCCCATTTTTAGCGGTTTTTAGTAATTTGACGGTAGTTTTTCCTGTGGAATTAAATAACAGTTATTTAATTCCAATAGTTACTATTGAGAAAATCAAAAAATTACCTCTCTAAAGTACCATCTTGATCCAATTTGCTAAAAGATTATCTTATCTTTTAGCATGTTGAAATCGAAAAACTCCTTCTGGTACAACTTTTGTATACAGGATGTAAAAAAAAAATAATAAACACCATAGCTTTCAAACCACTAGCTTTCTCGCTCCGCTCATAATCTAAAATTAAAATATCTATACATTTAAAAGTTGAATTTAACGATACTATGATAATTAATAATTAATCATAACCGTGGTAGGCAAGAAAAATAATTAAATAAACGAAATTTTATTTAAATTGTGATTGCACGATGTTTGCTATGTTTACCAAATTATTTATTGTTTATATTATAATAATATGTTAAAAAATAGCATTGCCGGTATAATCACCACCATAACATACTAATTAATATGTGACTGTATTATATCGGTTTAATTATCGGTTTGAAAAAAAATCGATAGTACCAATATCGGTTATCGGTATCGGCTCAGCTCTAATTATGTTCACAGTCTTGTTAACAATACTTTTTATATGTGGACTATTTGGGGGGGGGGGGGCAAGTGCACCCCCTTCCCACCACAATTACATCACTGTCCAGTTGAATAATATCGATAGAGGAATATTGTGACCTAGTTATCACATGTCAGAAATAAGAAAAAAAGTTTCAAGATACTAAACAGTTCACGTGATGCATATATAACTGATATTTTCAGTTTTATTAAATCGCCTTAAATTTGTCTACAAGTTTCCCAGACGACTTTTTTTTCGCAAGAATTCGTTTAGTGTTTGAATATTTTATTCAGATGGAATGCAAATAGCAATTTGAACAAAAAAGCTGTAGTAGATCAGAATCAAATTTCGATTTCAACCAATAACCATTGTATATTGTAATAAAACGATTTACAATTTTAAACCACCAACAGACAGCCAATAAAATGGTTGGATCCAAGTTAGATCCTGAATATAAAACTTGCTATTAGTTGAGTCCTGTATTATTTTAGGTTCTACTACTACAGTAGTTGAGTCTCGAATTATTTTAGGTACCTATTCAACTTGTTTCAGAGTCCCTGATAGTTTTTGGTGAACACTGCAACATTTTTCTTCCCATTTTATAAAAATATGAGTATAATATGGTTAATAATCTTTTTGTACAGTTTATTGTTTATAGTTTCTTTGCCATTAAAAATATAAATTATGATATTATAGTACAAATATAGATACAGAACCATGAATTAATTTCGTATACATTTTTACCAACACATATAGGATTTTTTCAAGCAATATATTATTTTCATTTATGTTATATAAAATCAATTTTTTGATATTTTTATTTTTAACATTTTTAATATTTTTTCTTAGTTTTGCATATTTGTATCTATATTTGTATTATATCATAATTATTTGTAAAATTCTAAATATATACCTATAATTAAATGTGTCCCTATAAACTCGAAATATATCCACCAATGTCAGATCATACATTATATAATACAATTATAAATATCGATGCATTGTTTTTTTTTTTTTACTGGCCCGACTTAAGTAACAAACTACTTTGCTAAAAAAACTAAATGTTTTGAAAATATTTTACGAAAATTAAGTTGTATACAATACATTTTTATTTATAGCATTAACGTTGATTCTCCTTTCAAAAACACAAAATCTATCCAAGGAAATTATCAGATTATCTATTATATAATATGTACCTACGTATAAAAAACCCCCCTGTATGTATGTTAGTATGTTACGAATACCGTTAACCCTTCTTGACGATACTTACGAGATTGTTTCACCCGTCGCCGCTGCAGTGTACCTCTATAGTCTATCGGTATGTTTTTTCGATGCGTATTTACCCTAACACGAGTAGTTTACACGGGGGGCGAAATATGTCAACGCGTATATTTAGGGAATGATCTATTATAGTTTGGCCCTGCTGAAATGGTATATATTTATTATACTATATTCAATTTTCGTATGATTTTGGAAAAAAAATTTGTAATGTTTTTAAGACGTAGACAAATAATTTTTAATTTTTTAACACTGCAATAATACTATACGTACCTAATAAATAAAATGTATTTATTAAACCTGTATGGTTATCGTAATGTAACAAGAAAGGAAAGTTCACTCTACGAGCGTGATATATTCATGGTTAGTAAACGTATTTTAATACAAAGCAATAAGCGATAATTCTAAATAACATTTTAAAAGAATTTGGTAACCTTTTGGTGGTAGTATAGTTTATAAATTCTACCTATACCTGTTACTACTGGTCTATATATATACTATTCTATATAGTATATATTAATTACTTATACAATATCAATAATCGTAATTAAATATCTTAAAAAAAACAATCGCATAAGTAACTATAATAATAACTGACTGATGTCGGATGGACGGACGAACACAAGGGGGATATATACGTATTTCTAAGCTTATATTTAGAAACCTTATATATAGTATATAGTATATAATATAGTAATTAGTATTTACCTTTGAATTGGAAAAGTTAAATAGAGCAACTCAATCAGACAATTTGAAAACTGCGTTAAAAGTGAAAAATTATTTAACAGACAAAGATCTGACCAGTGACCACCACGAATAAATTTTAAATAGGTACTTCATTTCAGCAGCATATTTTTATATTATATTTACGATATTATATGTAAGTGAATTTAGATTTTCTAATAACTCAATTTTTCAAAATTGTTTCCAATTAGATTCAATTCATATATTCAGGTACTTAAAAACAGCAATTTTCATATTATTAAAATTCTTATTTTGATAAAAATACCTACAGCTGGTTGCAGTAGGAAATAAAAAAAAAATTAGGTATCTGTAATAGGTAGTATCTTAATTATTGGTTCAGAAGCATGTCCACAGTGTTAACACTAGTCCACAGGTAAATATATTTTGATAATACAATAATTAATTATTGTACTTAATATCTGTGCACTAGGCAAACAATATAATATGGATGGAATATAAGCAAACTGTTAAAAAAAATAGAAAGGTATTAGGGAAGTCTCGTGGCGTTTTCGTATTACATTTTCAATCTATTTGACTGAGTCCAAACATACTTATCAAGAGTCAAGACTTTAGAACGAAGTAGAGTATACACGACTGAATCACAATAATTATGAAAAGTAAATGTTACGAGGTTCGATATAGTAATATGCTATATGACAATTAAAACGACGGACTGTGTTGCCCTGCGTCGTGTGTCCTCGCACAGGAGCTAGTCGTCAGGCTCAAAGGGCTTATAATATTATGCAGCACATTCTTTTGGACAAGTCGCATCGGAGACAACAATAATACTACAAATATATAATACGCAGTCGAGTGATCCATACAATTTAACACTAAATATTATATAACTCACTCGAATATTTTAACATTCGGCTATCATCCTTTCGGGTGCTCCTCCCCTCGTAACCGAAGACTCCGTATAATACCCAGGTACGCGTCGTCCATAAACGCGACGACATAATATCGTCTTCCACGACCCTCCCCCCACACCATCACAGGACCGCGCGGGATATCTCATAAGAATCGCGGTGTATCGGCGGCGGCGGATATCTACTACAGCACAATGGTCCGATTTGTTACCGCAGCGTGTCATTATATTATA